CGGTAATAGACTACGTAATAGTAAACGGATTAGCAGAAGAAGAGGTAGAAACATTCAAGATAGGAGAAAGAGTGGACTCCGATCACATGCCACTAGAAGTAAAAGTCAGGGGCATAAGTAGAGGGAGCGGATGCTTAAGGAATGAAGTAGGAAAAGAGAAGAAGATATGGGTATGGAATGAAAAAGGAATTGAGCATTATAAAAAAAATGTTGGAAGTGGAATTTAAAGAAAAAGGAACTGAAAAGAAAATGGAAGAATTAAAAAGAGAAATTGAAAAAGCAGTCATAAGAAATGAACTTGTAACGACAAATTCAGAAAAGAGAAACAGATGGTGGGATAGCAGATGCAGAGATTTAAAAACGGAAGCAAGGAAATGTTTACGAAGGTGGAAAAAGGGGAAAGGTATAAAAGAAGAGTACTGGCAAGCAAAAAATAATTATAGAAAACGATGCAAAGAAAAGAAAGAAGAGATACAACAACAAGAAGAAGAAAAAATTAAAGCCATAAGAACTGAGAAAGAGGTATGGCAGTATATAAATAAAGAACGGAAGAACAAAATCACGATTAGTGAAGACATACCTATAATACAGTGGAAGAAGCATTTTATGAAACTGTTGAACGGAAAGGAAGAGAGAATTGTAGAAGATAGTAAAACCGGGATTGGTGGTAGAGAAAGGGAAGCGGAGATTCGAGTAGAGGAAGTAGGAAAACAAGTAGGAAGACTGAAAAGGGGAAAAGCACCGGGGAGGGATGGGTTGGTAAACGTAGTGTGGATATTTGGGACGGATGGGATGATTGAAAGATTGAGCGAGTTAATCAATGAGGTGTGGACTTGTAAAGGTTTTCCAGGGGAATGGAGAGTAGGACAAATATGCCCAATTCATAAAAAGAGTAGTAAAGAAAAAGTAGAGAATTATCGGGGAATAACTCTTCTAAATACGGCATATAAACTGTACGCAATGAAAGATTGGTGACAGAGATGAACGAAAAGAGTATATTACCGGAAAGTCAAGCGGGATTTAGAAGAGGTAGAGGGGCTATGGACAATGTATATATCCTGTATCATCTAATAGAAAAAGAGTTGCTAAAGGAAGGAGGTGGGGTATATGCACTGTTTGTAGACCTAAAAGCCGCGTTTGATACGGTGGACAGAGAGTGTTTGTGGGAATGCATGGAAAGAAGAGGACTGAGTGAAAAGTTAGTTGTAGCAGCAAGAGAAATTTATAGAGAGACAGTGACTAGTGTGAGAGTGCGAGGAATAGAAAGCGATATGTTTTGGACGACGAAAGGATTGAGACAGGGATGCCCATTAAGTCCCAGTCTGTTTGCTTGTTACATAAGCGATATCGAGGAAATGTTTAGAGGAGTACAAGCGGGAGGAATTGTGGTGGGGAGAGAAAAGGTATGGTGTTTGGCATTTGCAGATGATTTGGTAATATTGGCGAAGGATAAATGTGGAATGAATGAGATGAAAAAAAATCTGCAAAGATACTTTAAAAGAAAGAAACTGGAGGTAAATGTAGAAAAAACAAAAATGATGGTGTTTACAAAAAAAAAAGGGAGAAAAGGGGAGGAAAAAGGGTGGCGTTGGGAAGATCGAATCATAGACACAGTAAAGGAGTTTAAATATTTAGGATCTAAGTTTACAACAACTAACACGGTAAAAGCACACATAAGAGAAAGAAGGGTCAAAGCAATGCAGATAATGGGAATGGTGTGGAGTATAGGTGAGAGAATATTTGGGTATGACGTAAGAAGAAGGATGAAAATGTTTGATAGTTTAGTTAGGAGTGTATTAATGTATGGAGTGGAGATATGGAGATGGAAGGAATATGCAGAGATTGAAGCAGTATAAGAAAAATATTTGAGGTGTATGTTAGGGCTACGGAAAGAGACGCCAGGTTATATAGTAAGAAAAGAATGTAAAAGAGAGAAACTAAGAGCATACACTGGGAAAAGATGTGTAAAGTATGATGTAAGATTGAAAGAAAGAGAGGAATGTAGGATATTGTATGAATGCAGGAAGGAAAAAAAAAAGGAAGCAGGGAAAGAACATCACAAGGGTAGACAAGGATATTATGAAAGACTGGGATACGCATGGATGGAAATAGAGAGAAAGAGAGAAATGGGGGTGAGTATGAGAGAAGAGTTGTGTATGCGTGACAGAGATATAGATAAACAAGAGAGAAGAGCGAGTGTAAGTAATTCTAGGTACAATGCAGACTATAGAAAGATAATAACAGAAACAATACCAAAGTACCTAGACAGAGAAAGCGCGAAAGAAAAAAAATAATTGCGAGATTTAGGTGTGGAAATGAAGAGAGAAATAACAAGTTTTGGGTAAGCGAAGGTGAGAGAATGTGTAGGACGTGTGGAGAAGGGCGAGAGACGATAGAGCACATGCTGCATGACTGTGAGGAGAGCAAAGAAAGAGAGGAGAGTGTGACAGAGATATTGAATGAAGACGGAAGAGGGGTGGAATGGATGAAAGAAATGGAGTGGACAAGAGTAAGGCTGGGGCAAGGGAGGATGGGGTAAAGGAAAGAAAAATTAGTTATTTAGTTTATAAAATGTATTTATTTGGTTTTTGTTAACTAGGAAAAAAAATTGTAGTGTCAAGAATCTTTTTAAGCGTAGGGTAAAAAATAAACACTTACTACTACTACTTACTACATTAGGATAATGGGAAAGGCATTTGAGGAACGCATGACCAACTTTAAGAAGCATTTAGCCGAGTGAAGGAGGTAAATTTGAAGTTGAATCCGAAGATGTGCCTCCTTTTAAAAAAAGAAATAGAATCTCTGGAGAATACTGTTTCGGCAAACGATATCTAGACTATGGGAACAAGGATCAATGCTGCTCCTCTGCAGTGGCTAACGGATTTCAAGTCTCAGTTTAATTGGACTGCTGAATGTGAAGCAGCCTTTAAAAGATTGAAGAACTCACTATGCTCTAGTTCTATTCTTTCCTATTCTCAGTCATCGAGAATGTACATCTTGGACACGGACGCGAGCAACATTGGAGTTAGTGCTGTATTCTCACAGATGCAGGACAAGGAAGAAAAAGTCATCGAGTACTTCAGCAGCGTGCTTTCGAAACCCGAGAAGAACTATTGTGCTACGAAGAAGGAGTTGCTGGTGATTGTCAGGACTGTTGGACACTTCCATAAGTATCTCTATGGATTCGAATTCCTGATTAGAACCGATCACGCAACCCTCACATGGTTCCTTCAGATGAAGAATCCCGAAGGACAAGTAGCTAGATGGCTTGAACGACTCCAACAGGATCACTTCAAAATTCGACCCAGGGCTGCTAAGCTCTACAATAATGCGGACTCTTTGTCGAGAAGACCGTGTAAGAATTGTAAACACTGCAACAAGATCGAGCAGCGTGAAAAGTCGTTCAACTGTGGAAGAACAGCAGTCATAGAAGAAGAATGGTCTACAGCCCAGATTAGAAAAGACCAGGAGGAGGACGTGGATATCGGACCGTTGCTCAAATGGGAAGAGGATGGGGTAGAATGACCAGTTTAGTCGGAGATATCAAACGAGTTACCCTCTTTTAAGACTTTATGGGCTCAGTGGGACTCCCTGCCTGTTGAGAACGGATTGCTAAAGCGAGGTTGAGAAAGTCCGGATGGGAAACACACCAGCATAAAGTTGGTGGTTCCGGCAACCAGAGTCAAGGAAGTACTTCTAGAGATGCGCAAGAGAGGTTCTGGTGCTCATTTTACTAAGTGCGTTGCCGAGAAGACGTCGAGAGCTGGTGTAAGAAATGTACTTCCTGTGCGGCAGTCAAGGGACCGAGGACTAGAGAGAAAGGGCCGATACAACAGTGCAACACCGGTTCGCCGTTGGAAAGAATTGCAGTGGAAGCCACAACGGTTGCAAAAATGCTAATTGGCAATTGGATGAGTAGGTTTGGGGTTCCAATGGAAATACATTCGGACCAAGGCAGAAACTTCGAGCCAAACCTATTCAAAAGGGTTACTGAAGCACTAGGGATACGAAAGACGCGGACTACACCGTTGCACCTACAGTCAGATGGAATGGTAGAGCGGTTCAATTGTACCATGGACGAACATCTTTCGAAGATGGTGATCGAACATCAGAAAGATTGGGATCGACATCTTCCACTGTTCCTTCTGGTTAATCGTTCACCTGTCCATGACACGACGGGTCAGACACCAGCGCGCATCTTGTACGCTACGACCTTAAGGGTAACTCAGGCAGGGGATTTGGTATGGCTTTATAATCCCCGAAAAAGAAAAGGTCATTGGCCGAAGTTGTCACCAGACTGGGCAGGTCCATCTATTGTGGTGACGAGAATCAACGATGTTGCTTACAGAATTCGACGAAGGTCGAAAAAGTAAATGAAGATCGTTCATTTAGACCGCCTCATGAAGTATAACAGTGACGCCTATGGCTTCTAGTATGTACGGCGATGATGACTCATCGTCGATGACGGCGGCCGGGCGAAGTTAGGTAAAAGAAAAGCCTGGAAGCGGAAGTCGCGATAGGCAATCCAGAAAGACCTCGACTGCGGAACTTCTAGAAGGGAAGTATGGCTTTAAATAGAGACCACCTTTGGGAATGATGATTATTCAGTTAACGAATCGAGTTGAGCGAAGACGGAGTTCAGCCAACTCGCACCGGAATTATTTTGTGCATAACAGCTGTAAATTTGAGTTAGTGAGAAATAAATTGTTGAGTTTAACCCACGCCGATTTTAATCACCGATCAACGTAACAATATTAATACATTAAAGCAATTGTTTGAATTTGGAACTAATAAAAATAAATGTGGCAAATTCAACAATATAGCGGGATGTGTCCAGTTCGGATTAGGATGTCTTAATTACTGATTTTTTCAAGTAAAGATTCTGCCGAAACGTCTTGGTATTTGCTAAATAAAGGTACAATTTGAAAATTTTACAAAAATATGCTTAAATATGCATTTTGTATACAATTCGAGTCTTACTTTTGAGTTGCAATTTTGCAGGGTCACAACCTTGCACATTTTTATCTATCAATTAGTAGAAACACGTTTTTCAGCTTAGAACAACACATTGATTTCGTATTTTCACAATTAAAGAACCGGTCAGTTTCACGATAAACAGGTTCTCTGTCTACACAATCGTACAATTTATGTGGTTATTGTGTAATCTAAACGTAAGTGTATTTATTGTAAACATTAAATTTATAATTAATTTGAAAAATTATTTTAGATGCTGATAGTTGCTCTAGTTATATTAGCTTCCACTTTTCTATACATTTACTATGACCACCAAAAACACCTCCCAGGACCATGGAATCTACCAATAATCGGTTATTTACATAAGTTAGACCCTTTAACACCTTACCTCACTTTGACAAAACTGGCACAAAAATATGGGCCTATTTTTCGAATCAACCTAGGTTTGGTAAACATGGTCGTGATTTCCGAAGCAAAATTGCTAAAAAAAATTTTACTCAAAGACGAAACTTTGGGAAGACCGCCGTTTTTGATGTTACTTGAGATGTTCGGCAACAAAGGTAGCAACACAAACATTACATTAACAATACTTCCAGTTGTTTTTATCTTGGTAGGATTAGCGTACAGCCCTGTCGATGTATGGAAAGAACAACGCAAATTTACTACTAACTTTTTAAAATCAGCTGGGATTACAAAATTTTCACCAGCCAGAAAGGAATTAGAAGATCTCATCACGAATTATGCTGACGACTTCGCAGATGTATGTTTATTAGATTAGTGTAACGTCCCCTATTATCTATATATTTTTAAATAGCATATAAACAGTCAAGGGAACAGAGTGATTTTGGACTCGTCAGAAGCTCTGACACACTACGTCAGCAGCGTCACCGGTACTGTACTATTGGGTAAATCGTTTTCGCGTGATGACGAAGTTCGCAAAAATTTAATACACAATCTTGACATAGCAATGCGTGAAGCTCAGCTTGGAGGACCTTTAAATTTTCTACCATTTTTACGGTGCGTCAGTAGATCCGTTTAAAAAGTGATAAAATTTTTGTTCCAGGTTTTTGCCAAAATATAGAAAATCGTTAACAGCTTTCAGGGATACGATAAACAAAATTCGAAAAAGTTTGTCTGTGCACATTAATGAGTGCGAAAAGACATTTTCTAACGACGACTCCGCTACAAATTTTATTGAAGCATTTTTGTTGCAACGTTCTAAAGGAGGTCCGCCGGAAATCTATAGTGTGGACAAACTCGTGTACATTTTATTTGATGTTTTTACTGGCAGCACTGAAACTACAATAAGTTCGTTGAAATGGATCATTTTGTACCTAGCACAGCACCAAGATGTCCAAAATAAAGTACGTCAAGAGTTTGTGGAAGTTTTACAAGGGAAAACTCTCGAAATGAGTGACGTACCGAAACTATCGTACACACAAGCAGTACTTAGTGAAGTGTTCAGAATTAGAACTCTGGCACCACTGGGATTTCCGCACTATGTATCTGACGATATCCACGTTGATAATATTAAAATTCGCAAAGGTACAACGATAATGCCGTTGTTGTGGGCTATTCATATGGATCCCAAAGTTTGGGACCAGCCTGACGAATTTCGCCCTGAGAGATTTTTAGACGAAGAGAACAAATTTGTACCTTCAGAGTCGGTTCTTCCGTTTCAGTGCGGTAAATGAATACTTTCATACGAGGCAAAAGTTACGTTGTGTGTTACAGGTAAAAGAATGTGCGTTGGAGAGGAGTTTGCAAGAATGATGACTTATATATTTGTTGTTGCTCTAGTCAAGAACTTTAAAATTGAACCGTGTGAATCCGGTCCTATTGATTTTTCGGGGGTTTGTGGGCTATCATTAGTGCCCAAACCGCAGAAACTGGTTTTTATAAAAATGTAAATGCTAAAATGGGCATGATTATTTTTAGACTTCTTTGCTAGATTGCTTAGGTGCAGGAGTTAACAATAAACATATTTTTTGGAAAAATAGTTTTCTTTTTAATTTTTAGTAGTAGTAGTAGTAAGTGTTTATTTTTTACCCAATGGGCTTAAAAAGATTCTTGACACTACAATTTTTTCCCTAGTTAACAAAAAACCAAATAAATACATTTTATAAACTAAATAACTAATTTTTCTTTCCTTTACCCCATTCCCCCTTGCCCCAGCCTTACTCTTGTCCTCTCCACTTCTTTCATCCATTCCACCCCTCTTCCGTCTTCATTCAATGTCTCTGTCACACTCTCCTCTCTTTGCTCTCCTCCAAGTCATGCAGCATGTGCTCTATCGTCTCTCGCCCTTCTCCACACATCCTACACATTCTCTCACCTTCGCTTACCCAAAACTTATTAATTCTTCCTTCATTTCCACACCTAAATCTCGCATTTATTTTTTTTTCTTTCGCGCTTTCTCTGTCTAGGTACTTTGGTATTGTTTCTGTTATTATCTTTCTATAGTCTGCATTGTACCTAGAATTACTTATACTCGCTCTTCTCTCTTGTTTATCTATGTCTCTGTCACGCATACACAACTCTTCTCTCATATTCACCCCCATTTCTCTCTTTCTCTCTATTTCCATCCATGCGTATCCCAGTCTTTCATAATATCCTTGTCTACCCTTGTGATGTTCTTTCCCTGCTTCCTTTTTTTTTTCCTTCCAGCATTCATACAATATCTTACATTCCTCTCTTTCTTTGAACCTTTCATCATACTTTACAGCTCTTTTCCCAGTGTATACTCTTAGTTTCTCTCGTTTACATTCTTCTCTTACTATATAGCCTGGGGTCTCTTTCCGTAGCCCTAACATCCACCTCAAATATTTTTCTTGTACTGCTTCAATCTCTGCATATTTCTTCCATCCCCATATCTCCACTCCATACATTAATACACTCCTAACTAAACTATCAAACATTTTCATCCTTCTTCTTACGTCATGTCCAAATATTCTCTCACCTATACTCCACACCATTCCCATTATCTGCATTGCTTTGACCCTTCTTTCTCTTATGTGTGCTTTTACCGTGTCAGTTGTTGTAAACTTAAATCCTAAATATTTAAACTCCTTTACTGTGTCTATGATTCGATCTTCCCAACGCCACACTTTTTCCTCCCCTTTTCTCCCTTTTTTTCTAAACACCATCATTTTTGTTTTTCTACATTTACCTCCAGTTTCTTTCTTTTAAAATATCTTTGCAGATTTTTTTTCATCTCATTCATTCCACATTCATCCATCGTAAAATATTACCAAATCATCTACAAATGCCAAACACCATACCTTTTCTCTCCCCACCACAATTCCTCCCGCTTGTACTCCTCTAAACATTTCCTCGATATCGCTTATGTAACAAGCAAACAGACTGGGACTTAATGGGCATCCCTGTCTCAATCCTTTCGTCGTCTAAAACATTTCGCTTTCTATTCCTCGCACTCTCACACTAGTCACTGTCTCTCTATAAATCTCTCTTGCTGCTACAATTAACTTTTCACTCAGTCCTCTTCTTTCCATGCATTCCCACAAACACTCTCTGTCCACCGTATCAAACGCGGTTTTTAGGTCTACAAACAGTGCATATACCCGACCTCCTTCCTTTAGTAACTCTTTTTCTATTAGATGATGCAGGATATATACATTGTCCATAGCCCCTCTACTTCTTCTAAATCCCGCTTGACTTTCCGGTAATATACTCTTTTCGTTCATCTCTGTCACCAACCTTTCATTTAACACCACTGCGTACAGTTTATATGCCGTATTTAGAAGAGTTATTCCCCGATAATTATCTACTTTTTCTTTACTACCCTTTTTATGAATTGGGCATATTTGTCCTACCCTCCATTCCCTGGGAAAACCTTTACCCGTCCACACATCATTCATTAACTCGCTCAATCTTTCAATCAACCCATCGGTCCCAAATATCCACACTTCGTTTACCAACCCATCCCTCCCCGGTGCTTTTCCCCTTTTCAGTCTTCCTACTTGTTTTCCTACTTCCTCTACTCGAATCTCCGCTTCCCTTTCTCTACCACCAATCCCGGTTTACTATCTTGCACTACAATTCTCTCTTCCTTTCCATTCAACAGTTTCATAAAATGCTTCTTCCACTGTATTATAGGTATGTCTTCACTAATCGTTATTTTGTTTTTCCGTTCTTTATTTATATACTGCCATACCTCATGTATCTCTTCTTTCTTTTCTTTGCATCTTTTTCTATAATTATTTTTTGCTTGCCAGTACTCTTCTTTTCTACCTTTCCCCTTTATCCACCTTCCTAAACATTTCCTTGCTTCTGTTTTTAAATCTCTGCATCTGCTATCCCACCATCTGTTTCTCTTTTCTGAATTTGTCGTTACAATTTCTTTTCTTATGGCTGCTTTTTCAATTCCTCTTTTTAATTCTTCCATTTTCTTTTCAGTTCCTTTTTCTTTAAATTCCACTTCCAACACTTTTTTTTTTATAATGCTCAATTCCTTTTTCATTAAATGCCCATATCTTTCTTCTGTTTTCCTACTTCATTCCTTAAGCATCCGCTCCCTCTACTTATGCCCCTCACTTTTACTTCTAGTGACATGTGATCGGAGTCCACTCTTTCTCCTATCTTGAATGTTTCTACCTCTTCTTCTGCTAATCCGTTTACTATTACGTAGTCTATTACCGATTCCCCTCTTTTACCTATCCAGGTAAATTCCCCCTCCTCGTCCCCTTCCTTCACCCCATTCAAGAATTCCCAACCTCTTTCTTCAATTAATTCCCATAGCAATTTTCCGTTTTTATTTTCTACTGTATCTTTCGATTTTCGTGTGTTTTTCCCGTCTTTTTCCCTGCTTTTGTTCCCTATTCTGGCATTAAAGTCCCCTCCTAACAATGGAAATTCTTCTTCGGATTCTTCGATTTTTTCTTATATTTCTTGTTGCGTGTTTCTCATTCCCCTATTATATATTGTGCAGATTCTCCATCTTTTTTTATTTACAATCAGTTTTCTTTCAACTAAGCCTTCGATTTCTATTGCTTCCTCTCCTATTTCTTTTATATCTTTCTTCACTCCTGTTATGATTCCACCTTTTGGTCTACCCTTGCGTTTTTCTTTTTTTGCCCCTTGCAATTTCCACTGAAATTCCTTTGACAACACGTCTTTCAGTTTGTTCCAGTCTCTCTCTAGTATCCATGTTTCTGTTAGTCCCATAAAATCAAAATTTTTCACGTAGTTCCAAAATAAGTTATCTTTCTTTTTCAAACCCGCAATGTTACAAAAGAGTAATTTTAAACCACTTTTATCTTCCCCATTCTTCTTTCCCATTCCCCAATTGTGTACAAAATCTACATTCTTAAACCTAAAGTCTTTATTTGTCCCATCATTACTATCCCTCCCCTTTGTGTTTCTTTCTTCGGTTAGTGCTGACTTGATTTGAGAAATTTTTGTTCCAATTTTCCTTTATTTTCATTCCATATATACATTTTGTGCCCTACTTCCAGCTTCTTATATCCCACCCTTGTTGTGTATCCTTTTTTTCTTTCCTCTTTAGCTATCTCCCTAATTCCTTTTGGAATTTTTTCCTCTTGTACTGTCCAATCATTATCAATATATATTCTCTTTCCTCTCAGTTTATTTTTATTCTTCATCACCTCTTGTTTTTCCTCCCAAAGCGTCTTAACCAGTATTTTCTTGCTTTCCTCTTTCCCTATAATTAATTATTGTTTCCAACACTTTTACTTCTACCTCAATTTCTTTTTTCAAAAATTCCTCTACTTCTTTTGCATCTGTTCTTTCCCTTATTTCCATACCCGTAATTATGAAATTGTTTCTTCTTTCTTGCCTCTCTTTTTTTCCCACCTTCTTCTCTAAATTATTGATTCTTTCTTCGAAGCTTCTCTCCTTTTGTTTCCATTCTTCTCTTTCTCTTTCTAGTATTCCATTTATTGTCTGTAATTCTTTTTTTACCCCTCTATTTTCTTCTCTCAGTTGTTTCATTTCTTCCATTAGTTGTTTCATCATTTCCATCAACGGCTCTTGTCCTTGCTTTATTTGTTCTCTTTCTTCCATTTTCAATGTTTTTCTTGTCTCACCAGTTGCACTCGCGTTTTTTTTTTTACGAAATATTCTTTTGTGCTGCTTTTACTATCACGTAATCACTCTTGTTACCCCTGAAAGTCAATGTTTACTATGACTTTAGCTTTAACTGTTGCTAACAATGTGTACTCGCTCGCTGCTCAATCAAGTTTTTAATTTTTACTCTTTGTGATTAATGTTGATGATGTTTTGCAGGGTCACGGCCTTCTAATTTTTTCAGTCGGTGTTACCTAGTCTTCTTAGTTTTACAGTTAAAAAACCAGTCAGTTTCGCGATAAACAGGTTCTCTTGAACTACTCAGTCACACAATTTGTGTGGTTCTTGTGTAAGTTACATAATAACAGAACTTCCTGAATTTGGAAACGTAAGTGAACTGATAGTTAACATCATTTACAATAAATATTTTAGATGCTGGTGGCTGCCTTAGCAATATTAGTTACCATTTTTGTTCTATACGTTTACTACGATCATCAGAAATGCCTCCCAGGGCCTTGGAATCTACCAATAATCGGGTCCATGCATAAACTTGACCCTGTGTCACCCAACCTTACCTTGGCAAAACTTGCACAAAAATATGGACCAATTTTTCGAATCAAACTAGGCTTAGTGAACATCGCCGTGATTTCTGAAGCAAAATTATTAAAAAAAGTTTTACTCAAAGACGAAACTTTGGGAAGGCCGCCACTTTTTATATTACGTGTGATGTTCGGAGGCAAAGGTAACAACAAAAACGTAACCCTAACACTGTTTTTACTTCGTCCTTTTCTTGACAGGATTAGCCTACAGCCCACTCAATGTGTGGAAAGATCAACGCAAGTTTACCACTAACTTTTTAAGATCAATTGGGATCACAAAATTTTCGCCAACTAGAAAGGAATTAGAAGATCTCATAACGAACAATGCTGAAGAATTTGTACATGTGTGTATCACTTTAATGTAACTTCGGTTATTGTCTAATTTTGTTTTAAGTAGCACATAAGTAGTCAAGGGAACATTGTAACTCTGGACCCTTCAGAAGCTGTGGTACACTACGTCAGCAACATCGCCGGTACTTTAATTTTGGGTAAATTGTTTTCGCGTGATGACGAAGTTCGCAAAAATTTAATACACAACCTTGACATAATAGTGCGTGAAGCGGGGATTGGAGGAGCTTTAAACTTCCTACCGTTTTTAAGGTACGTCGGTAAAATTATTGAAAAAATGATAACATCTTGTTTCAGGTTTTTGCCAAAATACAGGAAAACGTTGACCACTTTTAGCGAGACGATGGACAAGGTTCGAAAAATTTTAGCCGTCTACGTTAACGAGTGCGAAAAGACATTTTCTAACGATGATTCTGCTACAAATTTAATTGAAGCGTTTTTGCTGCAACGCTCTAAAGGTGGTCCTTCAGAAATCTACAACACAGATCAACTCATATACTTGTTATTCGATATTTTTACGGGTACCACCGAAACTACAATAACCTCCTTAAAATGGATCATTCTGTACTTAACACAGTACCAAGACGTGCAAAATAAAGTACGCCAGGAGGTTCTTGACGTTCTACATGAAAAAACACTCGAAATGAGTGACGTCCAGAAGCTGCCGTACACCCAAGCAGTACTTACTGAAGTATCCAGAATTAGAACCGTAATACCACTGGGTTTTCCACACTACGCTTCTGAAGATGTTCACGTCGATAACTTTAAAATTCGCAAAGGTACCATGATAATGCCGTTATTGTGGGGCATTCATATGGATCCCAAGGTTTGGGACCAACCTGAAGAATTTCGGCCCGAGAGATTTTTGGACGAAGGGAAAAATTTTGGTCCTTCTGAGTCAATTCTTCCGTTTCAGTGCGGTAAATGAATGCTTTGATAGTCAGGCAAAAGTTAAGCTGATTGTTTCAGGTAAAAGAATGTGCGTTGGAGATGAGTTTGCAAGAATGATGACAATCATATTTGTTGCTGGTCTCGTCAAGAATTTTAAACTTGAACCGTGTGAATCCAGTCCTATTGATTTTTCGTGGATTTGCGGGCTATCATTAGTGCCCAAACCGCAGAAAGTTGTCTTTGTAAAAATTTAAGTTTTATTTAGTTTTAGTTTTTTACTGAAAGTACGACCTGAGGCTTTGATACACTTGTAACTGTGGTTTTAAAACGTTTTAGGGAGATTTGTTTTTCCGTTGAAATAGTTGTTGTACTGATGTAAATGTTAAGTTAGAACACGTGTTAGAAATTGTATGTTGAATATTTATTTTCGGATATTCCTCTCACAGCGAAGTGTGTACCAAAATGAATTATTGTGATTTCGACCGTATTTATTATGTGTTTAAAATAATGTAATGGCGAATTCGGTTCACGATGTATTAAATTTAACATTCTGCAACTTCTTTGTTATGAAAAAGTCTTATCATAAGTGTGGTGTAATTATTCAATTCGGTCTAAAATAGAGTTCCATTTTGTTGACGACAGCAGTTCACGACAAAAATGGCCTGGACGGTTTTTCCTAAGCAATTATTTAGATTAATAATAATTTATCATTATTTTGAAATTTTTTAAATATTAAATTATTATTTACATTCAAGGTTTAAGTTTAATTAGTTAGTGGAAACTCGCTTTTCAGTTTTTAGGTTAGTTTGACAATTAAAAACCAGTCAGAGTCACGATAAATAGGTTGTTTTGATTTACCCACTGACATAATTTGTGTGGCTCGTGTGCAGCGGAAACGTAAGTGAATTGCTTTTAAATATTAAATTTATAATTTGTTTCCAAAAATATTGTAGATGCTCGTAGCTGCGTTAGTTCTACTAGTCTCCGTTTGTGTTCTATATATTTATTACGACCATCAAAAACACCTCCCAGGACCATGGAATCTACCACTGATAGGTTATTTACATAAGTTGGATCCTGTGGTACCCTACCTGACTTTGACAAAACTAGCACAAAAATATGGACCAATTTTTCGAATCAAATTTGGTTTAGTCAATATCGCTGTGATATCAGAAGCAAAGTTATTAAAAAAAATTTTACTCAGAGACGAAACTTTGGAAAGGCCACCACTTTTTATGTTACGTTTGATATCCAGAGGCAAAGGTAACAAGAAGAACATAACGCTAACATTGTTTTCAGTTCGTTCTTGACAGGGTTAGTGTACAGCCCACTCGATTTGTGGAAAGATCAACGCAAGTTTACTTCTAACTTTCTAAGATCAGTTGGGATCACAAAATTTTCGCCAACTAGAAAGGAATTAGAAGATCTCATAACGAACAATGCTGAAGACTTTGTACATGTGTGTATCACTTTAATGTAACTTCGGTTATTGTTTAATTTTGTTTTAAGTAGCACATAAGTAGTCAAGGGAACATTGTAACTCTGGACCCCTCAGAAGCTGTGATGCACTACGTCAGTAACATCGCCGGTACTTTACTTCTGGGTAAATTGTTTTCAAGTGGTGACGAGGTTCGCAAAAATTTAATACACTCTCTTGACATGATCGTGTATGAAGCGGGGCTTGCAGGAGCTTTAAACTTTTTACCATTTTTAAGGTACGTAAGTACTCCTATATTAACAAGTGACAATTTTTTTTTAGCTGTTTGCCAAAGTATAGGAAAACGTTAACCACTTTTAACGATGCGATGGACAAAGTTCGAAAACTTTTAGCCGGTTACGTTAGCGAGTGCGAAAAAACATTTTCTGACGGTGATTCCGCTACGAATTTAATTGAAGCGTTTCTGCTGCAGCGATCAAAAGGTGGTCCCTCAGAAATATACAACACGGATCAACTCATACACCTTTTATTCGATATGTTTACGGCTGCCACCGAAACCTCTATAAGTTCGTTGAAATGGATCATTCTCTACTTAACGCAGTACCAAGACGCGCAAAATAAAGTACGCCAGGAAGTTTGTGACGTTCTACATGGAAAAACACTTGAAATGAGTGACGTACCGAAACTACCGTACACGCAAGCGGTACTTACAGAAATATCCAGAATTAGAACCATAATACCACTGGGTTTTCCCCACTACGCTTCTGAAAATGTCCACGTCGATAGCTTTAAAATTCGCAAAGGTACCATGATAATGCCGTTATTGTGGGCCATTCATATGGATCCCAAGGTTTGGGACCAGCCTGAGGAATTTCGCCCCGAGAGATTTTTAGACAAAGAGAAAAATTTTGCGCCTTCAGAGTCGATTCTTCCGTTTCAGTGCGGTAAATGAGTGCTTTGTTAGTAAGGCAAAAGTTGAGTTGTATGTTTCAGGTAAAAGAATGTGCGTTGGAGATGAGTTTGCAAGAACGATGACTTATATATTTGTTGCTGCTCTAATCAAGAATTTTAAAATTGAACCGTGTGCATTCAGTCCTATAGATTTTTCGGGGGTTTGCGGGCTCTCACTAGTACCCAAACCGCAGAAAGTTGTTTTTGTAAAAATTTAATTTTTTAGTTTTAGTTCTGTATTTTACTGAAAGTACGACCTGAGGCTTTGACATACTTGTAAATGTGGTTTTAAAATGTTTTAGGGAGATTTGTTATTCTGTTGAAATAATTGTTGTAGTGATGTAAATGTTAAAACACGTGTTAGTAATTGTATGTTGAATATTTATTTTCGGATATTCCTCTCACAGCGAAGTGTGCAGCAAAACGATTTATTGTGATTTCGACCGTATTTATTATGTGTTTAAAATAATGTAATGGCGAATTCGGTTCACTGACTCTTGATTGAGCAGCGAGCGAGTGCACATTGTTAGCAACAGCTAAAGCTAAAGTCATAGTTAACAGTGACTTTCAGGGGTAACAAGTGTGATTACGTGATAGTAAAAGCAGCACAAGAGAATATTTCGTAAAAAAAAAAAACGCGAGTGCAACTGGTGAGACAAGAAAAACAACAAGGTTATGTCAAATCAGAAAAGGATTGAGAGTGATAAGATTGGTGACGTTTTTGCGGCCTGGCGAGAAAGAGCTGATAGTGAGGGAAGCGACAGCAGAGGCGTACGCCGCGCAAAGAGCCAGCAAAAACATTGAAAATGGAAGAAAGAGAAGAAATAAAGCAAGGACAAGAGCCGTTGATGGAAATGATGAAGCAACTAATGGAAGAAATGAAACAACTGAGAGAAGAAAATAGAGGGATAAAAAAAGAATTACAGACAATAAATGGAATACTGGATAGAGAAAGAGAAGAATGGAAACAAAAGGAGAGAAACTTCAAAGAAAGAATCAATAATTTAGAGAAGAAGGTGGAAAAAAGAGAGGCAAGAAAGAAAAAATAATTTCATAATTACGGGTATGGAAATAAGGGAAAGAACAGATGCAAAAGAAGTAGAGGAATTTTTGAAAAAAGAAATTGAGGTAGAAGTAAAAGTGTTGGAAACAATAATTATAGGGAAAGAGGAAAGCAAGAAAATACTGGTTAAGACGCTTTGGGAGGAAAAACAAGACGTGATGAAGAATAAAAATAAACTGAGAGTAAAGAGAATATATATTGATAATGATTGGACAGTACAAGAGCAAAAAATTCAAAAAGGAATTAGGGAGATAGCTAAAGAGAAAAGAAAAACAGGATACACAACAGGGGTGGGATATAAGAAGCTGGCAGTAGGGGACAAAATGTATATATTGAATGAAAATAAAGGAAAATTGGAAGAAAAATTTCTCAAATCAAGTCAGCACTAACCGAAGAAAGAAACACAAAGGGGAGGGGTAGTAATGATGGGACAAATAAAGACTTTAGGTTTAAGAATGTAGATTTTGTACATAATAGGGGAATGGGGAAGATAAAAGTGGTTTAAAATTACTCTTTTGGAATATTGCGGGTTTGAAAAAGAAAGATAACTTATTTTGGAACTACGTGAAAAATTTTGATTTTGTGGGACTAACAGAAACATGGATACTAGAGAGAGACTGGAACAAACTGAAAGACGTGTTGCCAAAGGAATTTCAGTGGAAATTGCAAGGGGTAAAAAAAGAAAAACGCAAGGGTAGAGCAAAAGGTGGAATCATAACAGGAGTGAAGAAAGATATAAAAGAAATAGGAGAGGGGGCAATAGAAATGGAAGGCCTAGTTGAAAGAAAACTGATTATAAATAAAAACAGATGGAGAATCTGCACAATATATAGTAGAGGAATGAGAAACACGAAACAAGAAATACAAGAAAAAATCGAAGAGTCCGAAGAAGAATTTTTATTGTTAGGAGGGAACTTTAATGCCAGAATAGGGAACAAAAGCAGGGAAAAAGACGGGGAAAACACACGAAAATCGAAAGATAAAGTAGAAAATAAAGACGGAAAATTGCTATGGGAATTAATTGAAGAAAGAGGTTGGGAAGTCTTGAATGGGGTGAAGGAAGGGGACGAGGAGGGGGAATTTACCTGGATAAGTAAAAGAGGGGAATCTGTAATAGACTACGTAATAGTAAACGGATTAGCAGAAGAAGAGGTAGAAACATTCAAGATAGGAGAAAGAGTGGACTCCGATCACATGCCACTAGAAGTAAAAGTGAGGCGCATAAGTAGAGGGAGCGGATGCTTAAGGAATGAAGTAGGAAAAAAGAAGAAGATATGGGTATGGAATAAAAAAGGAATTGAGCATTATATAAAAAAAAAAATGTTGGAAGTGGAATTTAAAAAAAAAGGAATTGAAAAGAAAATGGAAGAATTAAAAAGAGAAATTGAAAAAGCAGCCATAAGAAAAGAAATTGTAACGACAAATTCAGAAAAGAGAAACAGATGGTGGGATAGCAGATGCAGAGATTTAAAAATAGAAGCAAGGAAATGTTTGCGAAGGTGGAAAAAGGGGAAAGGTATAAAAGAAGAGTACTGGCAAGCAAAAAATAATTATAGAAAACGATGCAAAGAAAAGAAAGAAGAGATACAGCAAGAAGAAGAAGAAAAAATTAAAGCCATAAGAACTGAGCAAGACGTATGGCAGTATATAAATAAAGAACGGAAGAACAAAATCACGATTAGTGAAGACATTCCTATAATACAGTGGAAGAAGCATTTTATGAAACTGTTGAACGGAAAGGAAGAGAGAATTGTAGAAGATAGTAAAACCGGGATTGGTGGTAGAGAAAGGGAAGCGGAGATTCGAGTAGAGGAAGTAGGAAAACAAGTAGGAAGACTGAAAAGGGGAAAAGCACCGGGGAAGGATGGGTTGGTAAACGAAGTGTGGATATTTGGGACGGATGGGATGCTTGAAAGATTGAGCGAGTTAATGAATGAGGTGTGGACGGGTAAAGGTTTTCCCAGGGAATGGAGAGTAGGACAAATATGTCCAATTCATAAAAAGAGTAGTAAAGAAAAAGTAGAGAATTATCGGGGAATAACTCTTCTAAATACGGCATATAAACTGTACGCAATGATGTTAAATGAAAGGTTGGTGACAGAGATGAACGAAAAGAATATATTACCGGAAAGTCAAGCGGGATTTAGAAGAGGTAGAGGGGCTATGGACAATGTATATATCCTGCATCACCTAATAGAAAAAGAGTTGCTAAAGGAAGGAGGTCGGGTAAATGCACTGTTTGTAAAAGCCGCGTTTGATACGGTGGACAGAGAGTTTGTGGGAATGCATGGAAAGAAGAGGACTGAGCGAAAAGTTAATTGTAGCAGCAAGAGAGATTTATAGAGAGACAGTGACTAGTGTGAGAGTGCGAGGAATAGAAAGCGAAATGTTTTGGACGACGAAAGGATTGAGACAGGGATGCCCATTAAGTCCCAGTCTGTTTGCTTGTTACATAAGCGATATCGAGGAAATGTTTAGAGGAGTACAAGCGGGAGGAATTGTGGTGGGGAGAGAAAAGGTATGGTGTTTGGCATTTGCAGATGATTTGGTAATATTGGCGATGGATGAATGTGGAATAAATGAGATGAAAAAAAATCTGCAAAGATACTTTAAAAGAAAGAAACTGGAGGTAAATGTAGAAAAAACAAAAAGGATGGTGTTTAGAAAAAAAGGGAGAAAAAGGGAGGAAAAAGTGTGGCGTTGGGAAGATCGAATCATAGACACAGTAAAGGAGTTTAAATATTTAGGATTTAAGTTTACAACAACTAACACGGTAAAAGCACACATAAAAGAAAGGGTCAAAGCAATGCAGTTAATGAGAATGGTGTGTAGTATAGGTGAGAGAATATTTGGACATGACGTAAGAAGAAGGATGAAAATGTTTGATAGTTTAGTTAGGAGTGTATTAATGTATGGAGTGGAGATATGCGGATGGAAGGAATATGCAGAGATTGAAGCAGTACAAGAACAATATTTGAGGTGGATGTTAGGGCTACGGAAATAGACGCCAGGCTATATAGTAAGAGAAGAATGTAAACGAGAGAAACTAAGAGTATACACTGGGAAAAGAAGTGTAAAGTATGATGTAAGATTGAAAGAAAGAGAGGAATGTAGGATATTGTATGAATGCAGGAAGGAAAAAAAAAAGGAAGCAGGGAAAGAACATCACAAGGGTAGACAAGGATATTAGGAAAAACTGGGATACGCATGGATGGAAATAGAGAGAGAGAGAGAGAAATGGGGGTGAGTATGAGAGAAGAGTTGTGTATGCGTGACAGAGACATAGATAAACAAGAGAGAAGAGCGAGTGTAAGTAATTCTAGGTACAATGCAGACTATCGAAAGATAATAACAGAAACAATACCAAAGTACCTAGACAGAGAAAGCGCGAAAGAAAAAAAAAAGTGCGAGATTTAGGTGTGGAAATGAAGAGAGAAATAACAAGTTTTGGGTAAGCGAAGGTGAGAGAATATGTAGGATGTGTGGAGAAGGGCGAGTGACGATAGAGCACATGCTGCATGACTGTGAGGAGAGCAAAGAAAGAGAGGAGAGTGTGACAGAGATATTGAATGAAGACGGAAGAGGGGTGGAATGGATAAAATAAGTGGAGAGGACAAGAGTAAGTCTGGGGCAAAGGGGGATGGGGTAAAGGAAGGAAAAATTAGTTATTTAGTTTATAAAATGTATTTATTTGGTTTTTGTTAACTAGGGAAAAAAAATTGTAGTGTCAAGAATCTTTTTAAGCCCGTAGGGTAAAAAAAATAAACACTTACTACTATGAGTGCTTTGTTAGTAAGGCAAAAGTTGAGTTGTGTGTTTCAGGTAAAAGAATGTGCGTCGGAGAAGAGTTTGCAAGAACGATGACTTACATATTTGTTGCTGCTCTCGTCAAGAATTTTAAAATTGAACCGTGTACTTCCAGCCCTATAGATTTTTCGGGGGTTTGCGGAATCTCACTAGTGCCCAAACCACAGAAAGTTGTTTTTGTAAAAATTTTATTTTTTAGTTTTAGTTCTGTATTTTACCGAAAGTACGACCTGAGGCTTTGACATACTTGTAAATGTGGTTTTAAAATGTTTTAGGGAGATTTGTTTTTCTGTTGAAATAGTTGTTGTAGTGATGTAAATGTTAAAACACGTATTAGAAATTGTATGTTGAATATTTATTTTCGGATATTCCTCTCACAGCGAAGTGTGTACCAAAACGAATTGTTGTGATTTCGACCGTATTTACGATGTGTTTTGAAATAATGTAATGGGGAATTCGGTTCACGATGTAGTCTCTATTCATTCATTTTGATTTATTGAATTTAACATATTACAAATTTTTTGTTGTGAAAAATTCTTAACATAGGTCTGGCGTAATTAAATGTGTGATCGGTCTAATGCTATTCCAAAGTTATTATTTAGATTTAATAACTTCTCATTCGGGTTTTTTGAAATAGTAAATTGTAATTGGCATTTAAGATTAACTCTTAAGTTCTCTGTTATAAAACTAAAACATGAATGGAGTTTTAGATTGTTTGTGATTGTTGAAGCCTTGAGGGGTCATGGTTCACGACCCAGTAAATATTTTTCGGTCAGCTAGTGGAAACTCGTTGCCCTGCTTAGGAAATCGCATTGCTGACTTAGTTTTACAATTAAAATCCAGTCAGGGTCGCGATAAACAGGTTCTTTTGATCTACTTACTCACATATTTATTATTTAATTTGTGTGGCACGTGTGTAACGAGAACGTAAGTGAACCGATCTTAACCATTAAACTTTGAATTTATAATTTGTTTCCAAAAATATTGTAGATGTTTGTAGCCGTCTTAATTATACTAGTTCCCATTTGTGTTCTATATATTTACTACAACCACGAAAAACACCTCCCGGGACCATGGAATCTGCCACTAATAGGTTGTTTACATAAGTTGGACCCTGTGGCACCGTACCTGACTTTGACAAAACTAGCACAAAAATACGGACCAATTTTTCGAATCAAACTAGGTTTAGTAAACATCGCCGTGATTTCAGAAGCTAAATTACTAAAAAAAATTTTACTCAAAGACGAAGCTGTAGGAAGGCCGCCACTTTTTATGTTACGTATGATGTTTAAGGACAAAGGTAACACAAAAAACATAACTTTGGCAATTTTTTCAGTTTGTCTTGACAGGGTTAACGTGTAGTCCACTCAGTCTATGGAAAGATCAGCGTAAGTTTACTACTAACTTTTTAAGATCACTTGGGATCACCAAATTTTCACCAGCTAGAGAGCAACTGGAAGATCTTATAACGAATTACACTGATGACTTTGTAGATGTGTGTTTGTAACTTTAGTGTAATCGGTTATTGTCTGATTTTGTTTTAAGCAGCATATAAATACTCAAGGGAATTGTGTACCTCTGGACCCTGGAGAAGCCGTTACGCACTACGTCAGCAACATAGCTGGTACTTTAATTCTGGGTAAATTTTTTTCGCGAGATGACGCAGTTCGCAAAAATTTGATGAACAATCTTGAGATAATAGTGCACGAAGCACAGATTGGAGCAGCTTTAAACTATTTACCATTTTTACGGTACGTAGCTGAAGATAGTAAAACGTAATACATTGTTGTTGTAGGTTTTTGCCACAATATAGGAAAACTGTGAACACTTTTAGGGACACTATGGACAAAATTCTAGAAAGCTGTACTGTCTACATTAATGAGTGCGAAAAGACATTTTCTAGCGACGATTCTGCTACAAATTTTATTGAAGCGTTTTTGCTGCAACGATCTAAAGGAGGTCCTCCAGAAATCTACAACATGGACCAACTCATTTACCTTTTATTTGACATTTTTGCTGGTAGTACTGAAACTACAATAGCTTCGTTAAAGTGGATCATTCTGTACTTGGCGCAGTACCAAGATGTACAAGATAAAGTACGTCAAGAAATTTTTGAAATTTTACATGGAAAAAGACTAGAAATGAGTGACGTACCGAAACTATCGTACACGCAAGCAGTACTTACTGAAGTTTCCAGAAACAGAACTGCAATACCACTGGGATTTCCTCACTATGCTTCTGAAGATATCTACGTTGATAATGTTAAAATTCGCAGAGGTATGACGATAATGCCGTTATTGTGGGGCATTCATATGGATCCCAAAGTCTTTGACCAGCCTGAAGAATTTCGCCCTGAGAGATTTTTAGACGACGAGAAAAAATTTGTACCTTCAGAGTCCATTCTTCCGTTTCAGTGTGGTAAATGAATGGTTTGAGAGTGATATGGAAGTTGAGCTGTGTGTTTTAGGTAAAAGAATGTGCGTTGGGGAGGAGTTTGCTAGAACAATGATGTATATATTTGTAGCTGCTCTAGTCAAGAATTTTAAAGTTGAGCCGTGTGAATCCAGTCCTGTAGCTTTTTCTGGGGTTTGTGGACTTTCATTAGTACCCAAACCGCAGAAAATTGTTTTTATAAAAATTTAACATATTAATTATTGATTTCTTCAAGTTGTAATTGAAATAATAAAAAAACCTTTATTGAATGTTTTACACAGTTATATATTCCCTTAGTTTATAAGTTGAAAGTAAGCTCGAAATACCGCACACCTGGAGGATTTTGAAAAATCGAGAAATCTAAAAATTGAAAAATTTTAATAATCAAAAAATTGAAAAAATCTAAAATTTATAAACCGAAAAACAAAAAATCATTTCAATTTCGATTGATGTTTCAGTTTCAATTTTTGTTTCGATTTTTTAAGTTCTCGCTTTTTGGATTTTTCGATTTTCGGCTTTTTAATTATTAGATTTTTCAATTTTTCGTCGTTTCAGTTTTGAAGTTTTTTAATTTATCCAGTTTTTAGTTTTTTGACTGCACAATTTTCCAACATTTCAAATTTTCCATTTTTTAAATTTTGAACTTTTCGATTTCCCAATTTTTCGATATTTTGACTTTTCGATTTCTCAATTTTTCACTTTTCCGATTTCTGGATTTTTCTGATGTTTCAATTTCCCAATTTCTCAATTTTTCAAGTCTTCAATTCTCTATAAATAATTTTCATGTTTTTAATTTTAGATTTTTCGATTTCTCGATTTTTCAGTTTTTTTGAAGTTTCGATGTTTCGACTTCTTAGTTTTTGATTTTTCGGTTTTTCAATTTTTTGACTAAAATTTTTAGTTTTTCGATTTTTGGATGTTTCGATTGTTTGGTTACTCGGTTTTTCAAATTTTCGACTTTTCGGCTTTCAATTATTAGATTTTCGATTTTTCAGTTCTTCAGTTTTTCGATTTCCCCATTTTTCGTCATTTCAGTTTTGGAACATTTTAATTTATCAGTTTTTTAGTTTTTTGACTCCCCCATTTTCGAATTTTTAAATTTTGAACCTTCAGTTAATTTTCCAATTTTCTGATTTCTCAATTTTTTGATGTTTCAGTTTTGGAATTTTTGAGTTTTTAGATTCTTCAGTTGTTCTAAATTTTCCAATTTCTTAATATTTCGGCTTTTCGATTTCTCAATTTTTCGATTTCTGGAAAAATTAAAATAATCGAAAATTTTAAAAATCGAGAAATCTAAAAATTGAAAAATTTTAAAAATCGAAAGCCAAAGATGTCAAGCTATCGAATGATGTTTCAGTTTCATTTTTGTTTCGATTTTTTGAGTTCTCGCTTTTTCGATTTTTCGATTTTCGGCTTTTCAATTATTAGATTTTCGGTTTTTCAGTTCTTCAGTTTTTGGATTTTCCAATTTTTCGTCATTTTAATTTTGGAATTTTTCAATTTATCCCTTTTTTAGTTTTTTGACTCCATAATTTTCCAATATTTCAAATTTTCCATTTTTCAAATTTTGAATTTTTCGATATTTCGACTTTTCGATTTCTTAATTTTTCACTTTTTCAATTTCTGGAAAAATTAAAATAATCGAAAATTTTAAAAATCGAAAAACAAAGATGTCAAGAAATCGAAACAAAAAAATCGTAAAACCGAAAATGTATAATTTAAAAATTAGAAAAATTGAAAAAATCTAAAATTTATAAACTGAAAAACGAAAAATCGACATTTCAATTTCTCTATTACTTGATGTTTTAGTTTCAATTTTTGTTTCGATTTTTTGAGTTTTCGCTTTTTCGATTTTCGGCTTCTCAATTATTAGATTTTTCAGTTTTTCAGTTCTTCAGTTTTTCGATTTCTCAAGTTTTCGTCATTTCAGTTTTGGAACTTTTAATTCATCAATTTTTTAGTTTTTTGACTCTTCAATTTTACAATTTTTCAAATTTTCGAATTTTTAAATTTTGAACTTTTCCGATTTGTCGATTTTTCAGTTTTTTGATTTACCGATTTTTTGATTGCTCAATTTTTTGATGTTTCAATTTTGGGAATTTTGCGTTTTTAGATTCTTCACTTGTTCTAGATTTTCCAATTTTTCGATATTTCGACTTTTCGATTTCTCAATTTTTCACTTTTTCGTTTTCTGGATTTTCTGCTTTTTCGATTTTATTGATATTTCAATTTCTCGATTTTTCAAGTCTTCAATTTTTCTATATTTTAATTCTTCAATTTTGTAAATTTTAGATTTTCCAATTTTTTGATTTATCGGTTCCTCAATGTTTCTATCTTAATTTTTCTAATTTTTAAATATTAGATTTTTCAGTTTTTTGATGTTTCGATTTCCCCATCTTTCGATTTTCAACTCCTCGGTTTATGATTTTTCGGATTTAAAATTTTTACTTTTTTTAGTTTTAAATTTTCAATGGTTAGCTTTTGCATTTTTCGATTTTGAAGTATTTCTGTTTTTCGATATTTTTCGACTTCTCGACTTTTCAATTTCTCGATTTCTCGACGTTTCGATTGTTTGATTTTTCGATTTTCGGGTCAAAAAATTTGAAAATCTAAAATTCAAAAACCAAAAAACGAAAAATCGAAAGTCCAAAATTTAAAAAATCGAAAAATTGAAAAATTTAAATACTGAGGAATTGAAAGATCAATCGAAAGGCAAAAAAAAGTTGAGAGTTAAAAAAATTGAAAAATCTAAAAGCGGAATCAAAATATCGATAAATCGGGAAATCAAAACACTGAAAAATCGAAAATTTGGAAAACCGAAAAATTGAAAAAGAGAAGATCCAAAAGCAAAAATCGAACGATTAAGAAATCAAAACATTTGCAAAATTCGAAAACGTGAAAAACTGAAATATGGAAGAATTGAAATGAAAAATCAGGAAATCGAGAAATCTAAAATTTAAAAACCGAAAAACTGGAATATCGAAAAAGTAAAGTAATAATTGACACATTGAAAAATTCAGAAGTCAAAAATCGAAAAGTCGAAATAGAAATATTGAAAAATTCCAAAACTGCAAATTCGAAAAATTGAAGAACTGGAAAATTGAAACAGGGGAAAGTCAAGAAATGGGAAAATCAAGTTAATTGAAAAATCGAAAAATCGAAATATTTAAAAATCCTAACATTGAAGATGATAAAAATCGGAAAATTGAGAAATTGAAAAATTGAGAAATTGTAAAATCGAAAGATTGAATAATAATCTGAAAAATCTTTTTTTAACTAAGAATTAATTCTTTAATTGTGTGTAATAGTAAGAAAACGTCTTAAATTAACAATATTATTGAAATCGTAATAATCCACTGGATTTTTTTCGGGAAAATGTAGTTATTTCTATGTTTTGAAAACATTGTCTTCTATTTTCTATCGATTGTAAAAAGTGACAAATTTTTGTGTTTGTTTTCGATATGTTGTGTGATATTGATACAGAAAAAAAAGAAAAATCAAAATAATCGAAAATTTGAAAAATCAAGAACTCTAAAAATCGGAAAACAGATATGTCAAGAAATCGAAACAAAAAAACGTAAAACCGAAAATGTATATTTTAAAATCTCTAAAAATTGAAAAAATCTAAAGTTTAAAAACCGAAAAACGAAAAATCGAAAGTCCAAAATTTAAAAAATCGAAAATTTGAAAAATTGAAATACTGAAAAATTGAAGACCAATCGAAAGACCAAAAAAAGCGGAAAAATAAAAAAACGAAAAAGCGGAAAATCGGAAAAACTGAGAAACGGAAACGGGCGAAATTAAAAAATCAAAAAGTTATAAATTGAAGAGCTGAAAAATCGAGAAACTGAAGAATCAAAATATCGATAAATCGGGAAATTACAACACTGAAAAATCTAAAATTTGAAAAACCGAAAAATTGAAAAACAGAAGATCCAAAAGCAAAAATCGAACGATTGAGAAATCAAAACAAAAAACAAGTTTGCAAAACTTCCAAAAATTGGAAAATTGAAATATAGAAATGAAAAATCGGGAAATCGAAAAATCTCAAATTTAAAAACCGAAAAACTGGAAAATCGAAAAAGTAAAATAATCGACACATCGAAAAATCCAGAACTCAAAAATCGAAAATTCGAAGAATCGAAAAATTGAAAAATTCCAAAACTGAAAACATATATCCTTGGTTTGTGTTATTTTCTGCCAGAAATGTGTCATTAAGGATAACTGAAGTTGCATGGTTGTTCGAAAATTTAGATATACCCTTATTAACTAATTCTTTTTGAGTATAGCGAATTTTTTCCATGGTTTGTTTGAACACATTTTTCATTCTGCGGTATTGTGGTAGCAGTCTAAAAATTGTGATACACATTTAAGTCGCTGTAAAATTTTTGGCAACTTATTGGAAGAATGGCAAGAAATTCAGACGATTACAAAACGTCGTTGTAGTTAGGTCGTCATAAAAATAAATTGTATAGTTAAAGTTTTATTGATAATATTTTATTAAATGGTATACAGTACGATCGAAAGGGGAGTGTTCGATTTAGTGTTTTAAGTAGCTATATCTTCGTAAAGAGTATTTCCTGTGGTTTAGAATTGAATGTAATTCCACAAACACCTGTAAAATCTATTGGTGACGAATCCACACACCCTAGTTTAAAATTTTGCAGAACCCTTGCGATCAACATGGATGCTATCGTTATTGTTATTTCGTCCCCAACACATATTCTTTTGCCTTGAAAAATATTTACATTGTTTGTTACAGTGCATATTGATCTTACCACTTTGAAAAGGAACAAACGCTTCCGGTTTGTAGAACTTTCCATCGTCGGTCAAAAACCTTTCAGGACGAAATTCTTCAGGGTTTTTCCACACGTTAGGATCCATATGGATTCCCCATAGTAATGGCATTATCGTTGTACCTTTCGCAATGTGAAAACCTTCAACACAAATATCCTGGGAAGCATAGTGAGGAAATCCGAGTGGTCCTGTGGTACTAATTCTACCAACTTCGGCGATAGTTGCTTTAGTATAATGTAGATTCGCGAGGTCGTTCATTTCGATCTTTTTACCTTGCCCGACCTCAAGAATCTCTTGGCGAACTTTGTCTTGGATATCTTCGTGCTGCGCCATGTGTAGGAAAATCCACATTATGTAACTTATAGGGGCTGTGGTAAAAGCCATGTAGAGGTCGTAGACGAGGTAAGGCAACTGATCAAGGTCGTACATGTCTTTGTTGTCTTTAGAGATTTGCAAGAGAAATATTTCGATCAAATTTGAAGAAAAGTCGGAGGTGGATTTTCTACAATCATCTATCAGTTTGCTCTGAATTTCACGAATTTTACGAAGGGCGACTTTCAATGAATTTACCTTTTCTTTGAACTGTGGTAAAAAACTGCAAGAAATGGTCAATAATGTGTTATTTGGTAAATCATTAGCACACCGTAAAAAGGGTAGAAAATTTAAAGGAGTTCCGGGTGCCGATAGTTCACCAACTACATCCAGATTTTTTCGTAGAACTAGAAAATTCTCATCGTCCCAAGAAAAAGGTTTTCCTTGAAGTAAAGTACTAGCCACACTAGTTACGTAACGAGTTACAAGTTCCCAAGGATCTAGTACAATATAGTCACCTTGAGTTGTCACAACCTGTTCATGAAATTTATAATATAATAAGAAAACAATCCTTATTAACTCACTTGTATAAATTCGTCAACATACTTTTCTATCAACGCTTCACACGATTTTTTGTTTGGTGAAAATTTGTTAGCTCCTGTCATTTTAAAAAAATTGGCAACCAATTTACGGTGGTTTTTCCATACATGTCCACTTGTGTAAACAATTCCTACAATAGAAATAAATTCTTTGAAGTAGAGTTTGACTGAAGGGATTACCTTTGCCCTCGAACACGGTGTTTAACATATACAGAGGTGGTCTTTCTATAGTTTCATTTTTGGCTAAAACTTTTTTCAATATTTTGCCGTCGGCTATGACTGCAACGTCCATCAATCCCAGTTTAATGCCATAAACGGGTCCGTATTTTTGAGCAAGTTTTGTCAAAGTTAAGTAAGGGGCTACTGGATCTAGTTTATGAATGTAACCTATAATTGGTAGATTCCATGGTCCCGGAAGACGCTTTTTACGATAAGTGATGTATAACAAAAGTGTTAGAGTTAATATTGTGACTAATGCAACCAACAGCATCTAAAATATAAAGTTTAAATTTACTTGTTTTAAGAAAATCCATAGAATAGTCACCTTTCTTAAGTTTATCAGTTTTCCACACGAAGCCTGAAATTTCACTGAAACTCGTAATAGTAATAACGTATTTTCAAAAACACGCGTTAGACGTTAGAGTCAATTAAACTAATCAAGAGTGTTTGTTTTGTATAATATTTTTAATTGTTACTATTATCTACGTTATAAAAATAAATCATGGTCATTAATTATGCTTCAAAGTGTCAACATAATTATGCATGAAATATTGGTATCCAGACAAAGTATTTTGTGTTTTCAATGATAAAGTCTATCTTTTTCGTGTGAAATATTTACGATCAAGGAGATGATATAAGAGAAAGTAATAAACAATTATTGAAGGAATGGAATACACAGCTTAAAGAGGAGCTTAAAACAATAAGAGGGGAATTAAAGCAACTAAGAGATCAACTACAGGAGCAAAATCAAGAAATTAGAGATAACTATGAAGAATGGAAACGAGCTAAGGAAGAAATGGGAAAGAGAGTGGGCGAAGTAGAAAGTCAACTAGATCGAATGGAGAGAGAAAAGGGAAGAAACAAAATAGTGACGATGGGATTGGAAATAGGAACAGGAGAGCAGAAGCACATAATTGAAAAGGTGACAAAATTTTTAGAAGAGAAAGCCAAAGTGGAGAGTAAAGTTAAAAGCGCGTACAAAATTGCAGAGAAAGTGGAATTCGAAAATAGAGTAGAAAAAATATTTGTAATGAAAAGCAAGAAGAACTTAAAAGGGTCGTCAATTTACATAAATGTAAGGAAAAATGGTTAGAATGGGATATAAAAAGTTAACTGTAGATGATAGAAATTTTGAATCGAATGAGGAAGAGAGCAGACTCAAAAAGGTAGAGCCAAAGAAAAGGAAGAAAAGGAGGAAAAATGGAAGGAAACAAGGCAAAGGAATAAAGGATGCAGATGGGAGAAGCGGAAAAAGGGAAGGATTGTCAACGAAGAGGCGTGGGAAGAAAAAAGAGTTTCGAAGCGGGGGAAAGCGTAGAATCAAACCACATGCCACTAGATATAAAAATCAAAGGAAAAAACAAGAGTACGAAAAACAAGAGAGAAGAAACGAAAGAAAAGAAATAGAAAAAAGAATATGGGATGAAGAGGGAATTCAAAGATACGGAAGTAGACTAGAAAAAAAGAAATTCGAAGTAAAAGTAAATATAGAACATTTCCATTTTGGAAAATTTTCAAATTTTGCATTTTTCAATTTTTCATTTTTTTTTGTTTCTATTCTAGATCTTTCTACATTTTTGATTTTTAAAATTCTTGGTTTTTGGATTTAGTTTTTCAATTTTTAAAGTTTTCGATTTTTCAGTTTTTCTATATATTTTTAAAACATTTTGATTTCCCAATTCTCGATTTACCGATATTCCAATGTTTCAGTTTTTAGATCGTTCGATTTCTCGATTTTTTGAAGTTCCGATTTTTTGATGTTTCAGTTTTTGAATTTTTCGAAGTTTCGATTTTTCGTTTTTTCGGGTTTTCGACTTTTCGGCTTTTCGATTCGATCAAAAAATTGAAAATTAAAAATTGAAAAATTAAAAAAGAAGATAAATCGAAAAATTGAGAAACGGAAAAATCGAGAACTTCAAAAATTGGAATATTTAAAATTATGAACTGAAAATTTGAAAAATCGAAAACGTTAAAACTGAGAAATTGAAAAATTGAAGAATCGAAATTCAGAAAACTCTCAAAACTGAAATATGGAAAAATTGCAAAATAAAACAAAAATTGATGAATCAAAAAACTAAAAAATCTCAAAATTGAAAAATCGAGAGATCAAAGTCGAAAAATCGAAAATTTTAAAAATCAGAATTTGAATAATAAAAATGGAGACTGAAAAATCCAAGCATTGAAAAGTCTAAAAATCGAATATGGGAAAAACAAAAAATTGACTAATCGAGAAAACGAGAAATCAAAAAATTAAAAATTTAGAAACGTCAAAAATTGAGAAATCGAAAAATTGAACACACCCAAAACGGCAATATCAACAAATTGAGTAATTGAAGAACTGAAAACCCAGAAATCGAAAACTACAAAAGTAAAAAAATCAAAAAAATTGCAAACCAAAATCAAAAAATCGAGAACTTAAAAATTGAAAAATTCAAAAATTCAAAATAAAAAAAAAAAATGAAAATCGAAAAATGGGGAAACGGAAAAATCCTCAAATCGAAGCAGAAACGCGAGAAATTTAATTATCTAGAATTTAAGAACTGAAATTTTGAATAATCGAAAAAGTCAAAATTGAGAAATCAAAAATTGAAGAATCGAAATAGTGAAAATCCCAAAACTGACATATCGAAAAACTGAAAAATCTAGAAATCAAAGACGACAAATCGAAAAATTGAAGAGCGAGAAATCAAAAATTTTAAAAATTGAAAAATTAAAGTGTCGAAAAATTGAGAATCGACAAACCGAACTTAAAAAACCGAAAAATTAAAAATCTAGAATTTAAAGCTCGGAAAATCAAATATTTCAGAAATTAAAAAATCGAAATATCTGAAAAATCCCAAATTGAAATATCGAAAAATTTAAACATGGGAGAAAAATTGAAGAAACGAAAAATTGAAAAGTCGAGAAATCGACATTTTTTTTTCAATTTTTCAATTCCGGAACATTTCCATTTCGGAAAATTTTCAAATTCTGGATTTTTCAATTTTTCATTTTTTTTATGTTTCTATTCTAGATCTTTCTATTTTTTTGATTTTTAAAAGTCTTGATTTTTGGATTTAGTTTTTCAATTTTTAAAGTTTTCGATTTTTCAGTTTTTCTATATATTTTTAAAATATTTTGATTTCCCAATTCTCGATTTCCCGATACTCCAATGTTTCAGTTTTTAGATCGTTCGATTTCTCGATTTTTTGAAGTTCCGAGTTTTTGATGTTACAATTTTTGAATTCGGAGTTTCAATTTTTCGTTTTTTCGGTTTTTCGACTTTTCGGCTTTTCGATTCGATCAAAAAATTGAAAATTAAAAATTGAAAAATTAAAAAAAAAAAGATAAATCGAAAAATCGAGAAATGGAAAAATCGAGAACTTCAAAATTTGAAATATTTAAAATTATAAACTGAAAATTTGAAAAATCGAAAACGTCAAAACTGAGAAATTGAAAAATTGGAGAATCGAAATTCAGAAAACTCTCAAAACTGAAACATGGAAAAATTGCAAAATAAACCAAAAATTGATCAATCAAAAAAACTGAAAAATCTCAAAATTGAAAAATTGAGAGATCGAAGTCGAAAAATCGAAAATTTTAAAAATCAGAATTTGAATAATAAAAATGGAGACTGAAAAATCCAAGCATTGAAAAGTCTAAAAATCGAATATGGGAAAAACAAAAAATTGACTAATCGAGAAAACTAGAGATCAAAAAATTAAAAATTTAGAAACGTCAAAAATTAAGAAATCGAAAAATTTAACACACCCAAAACGGCAATATCAACAAATTGAGTAATTGAAGAACTGAAAACCCAGAAATCGAAAACTACAAAAGTAAAAAAATCAAAAAAATTGCAAACCAAGATCAAAAAATCGAGAACTAAAAATTTGAAAAATTTAAAAATTTAAAATAAAAAAAATCGAAAATCGAAAAATGGGGAAACGGACAAATCCCCAAATCGAAGCAGAAACGCGAAAAATTTAATTATCTATAATTTAAGAACTGAAAATTTGAAAAATCGAAAAAGTCAAAATTGAGAAATCAAAAATTGAAGAATCGAAATAGTGAAAATCCCAAAACTGACATATCGAAAAACTGAAAAATCTAGAAATCAAAGACGAAAAATCGAAAATTTAAAAAATCGAAAAATTGAAGAGCGAGAATTCAAAAATTTTCAAAATTGAAAAATTAAAGTATCCAAAAATTGAGAATCGAGAAATTGAACTTCAAAAACCGAAAAATTCAAAATCTAGAATTTAAAACTCGGAAAACCAAATATTTCAGAAATTGAAAAATCGAAATATTTGAAAAATCCCAAAACTGAAATATCGGAAAATTGAAACATGGGAGAAAAATTGAAGAAACGAAAAATTGAAAATTTTTAAAACCGAAAAATCTAGAGATCGAAAAGTTGAAAAAGCGAAGTAAAAAAATCAAAAATTTAAGAAAAACGAAGAACTTGGAACTCAAAAACCTGAAAATTCGAAAAACTGAAGAACTGAAAAACTGAAAAGTCGAGAAATCGAGAATTTTTTTTCAATTTTTCAATTCGAGAACATTTCCATTTTGGAAAATTTTCAAATTCTGGATTTTTCAATTTTTCATTTTTTTATGTTTCTATTCTAGATCTTTCTATTTTTTTGATTTTTATGATCCTTGATTTTTGGATTTAGTTTTTCAATTTTTAAAGTTTTCGATTTTTCAGTTTTTCTATATGTTTTTAAAATATTTTGATTTCCCAATTTTCGATTTACCGATATTCCAATGTTTCAGTTTTTAGATCGTTCGATTTCTCGATTTTTTGAAGTTCCGATTTTTTGATTTTTGAGTTTTTGAATTTTTCGAAGTTTCGATTTTTCGTTTTTTCGGTTTTTCGACTTTTCGGCTTTTCGATTCGATCAAAAAATTGAAAATTTGAAATTGAAAAATTAAAAAAAAAGATGAATCGAAAAATTGAGAAATGGAAAAATCGAGAACTTCAAAAATTGAAATATTTAAAATTATAAACTGAAAATTTGAAAAATCGAAAACGTCAAAACTGAGAAACTGAAAACTGGAGAATCGAAATTCAGAAAACTCTCAAAACTGAAATATGTAAAAATTGCAAAATAAAACAAAAATTGATGAATCAAAAAAACTGAAAAATCTCAAAATTGAAAAATCGAGAGATCGAAGTCGAAAAATCGAAAATTTTAAAAATCAGAATTTGAATAATAAAAATGGAGACTGAAAAATCCAAGCATTGAAAAGTCTAAAAATCGAATATGGGAAAAACAAAAAATTGACTAATCGAGAAAACGAGAAATCAAAAAATTAAAAATTTAGAAACATCAAAAATTAAGAAATCGAAAAATTTAACACACCCAAAACGGCAATATCAACAAATTGAGTAATTGAAGAACTGAAAACCCAGAAATCGAAAACTACAAAAGTAAAAAAATCAAAAAAATTGCAAACCAAGATCAAAAAATCGAGAATTAAAAATTTGAAAAATTTAAAAATTTAAAATAAAAAAAATCGAAAATCGAAAAATGGGGAAACGGACAAATCCCCAAATCGAAGCAGAAACGCGAAAAATTTAATTGTCTATAATTTAAGAACTGAAAATTTGAAAAATCGAAAAAGTCAAAATTGAGAAATCAGAAATTGAAGAACCGAAATAGTGAAAATCCCAAAACTGAAATATCGAAAAACTGAAAAATCTAGAAATCAAAGACGAAAAATCGAAAATTTAAAAAATCGAAAAATTAGAGTATCGAAAAATTGAGAATCGAGAAACCGAACTTAAAAAACCGAAAAATTAAAAATCTAGAATTTAAAGCTCGGAAAATCAAATATTTCAGAAATTAAAAAATCGAAATATCTGAAAAATCCCAAACTGAAATATCGAAAAATTGAAACATGGCAGAAAAATTGAAGAGATGAAAAATTGAAAATTTCAAAGCTGAAAAATCTAGAGATCAAAAAGTTTAAAAATCGAAGCAAAAAAATCGAAAATTTAAGAAAAACGAAGAACTGAAAACTCAAAAACCTGAAAATTCGAAAAACTGAGAAACTGAAAAATTGAAAAGTCGAGAAATCGAGAATTTATTTTCAATTTTTCAATTCCGAAACATTTCCATTTTGGAAAATTTTCAAATTCTGGATTTTTCAATTTTTCATTTTTTTTATGTTTCTATTCTAGATCTTTCTATGTGTTTGATTTTTAAAATTCTTGATTTTTGGTTTTAGTTTTTCAATTTTTGAAATTTTCGATTTTTCAGTTTTTCTATATATTTTTAAAATATTTTGATTTCCCAATTTTCGATTTACCGATATTCCAATGTTTCAGTT